AGTCTTCTATTAATTAATAAAATGTAAAATGTACTATGAATTTAATGAATCAAATTTTGAGTGTAAAATAAAGAAACTGCAAATTTAATTTAAACAATTTTTCAATTTAATCTGAAATGTGATCAAATATCTCGTTATACGACTATATCACTATATTGTTATAACTATTATTATTATTATTATTATTATTATTATTATTATTATTATTATTATTATTATTATTATTATTATTATTATTATTATTATTATTATTATTATTATTATTATTATTATTATTATTATTATTATTATTATTATTATTATTATTATTATTATTATTATTATTATTATTATTATTATTATTATTATTATTATTATTATTATTATTATTATTATTATTATTATTATTATTATTATTATTATTATTATTATTATTATTATTATTATTATTATTACTACTACTACTACTATTATTATTATTATTATTATTATCATTAAGGGGTAATGTTTACTTCAAGTTCTTTCATAGAGTTATCTTTCCCGACTTATTTCCATCAATAATTATTTCAAAAAGAAGAAAAGCTGAAATATAATGCATAATGGAATATATAAAATTTATGAAAACTCCATATATTAAAAAATTTTGCACTTTTTCCATTTATAATATTTCATTAAGTTGATTTTCAATTTAATTAATGCAATTAATTGATGTAGGATACATCGATATTTTAAAATATATTTTTTGTTAATATTTTTATAAAAAAGAAAAAAAATCACTAAAAATATGAACAAAACGGAAATTCGATATTTTTAGCTTTTGTTGAGATAAAATGATGTTAATAACTCATGAAGTTATTATTATTTTCACGATGTTTGTTCCTAAAAGTAAGCATCGAAAATGTATGCTTTAGTTTTTCTTTTTTTTAAAAGTAATTTTCTGTTTTGTTTCTCTCAAACATTTATTCTATCATTTTACTTTTTACATTCTTTCTTCATACATAAATGTTTGTAATATTTTTCATTCAAAATAATGTTTATATTTTGGCAAAAAAAAAAAAAATTTGCATTTTATGGAAAAATGAAATATTAGCGCAGTTGACCAGCGTAAATTGTAAAATTGAAAATTAATTTTTGTTCAATTAATTTGTTCGAAATTGATTTAATCTAAATGATAGGATAGCATTAATTATAGACCTCATCTTAAGGTATATGATTATGGGCAGGAATAAATGAAGTTATGCAAGATTTTGAAACACTATAAATAGAGTTTATCTTTTTTTTTTCTTTTTTTGCAAATTTGATATTTGAAATTTTTTTTTTCTTTTGAAATCAAGAATTAATATCGCTTACAAAATTTACATTTAAACTTACGATATGGAATAAAAATTCATAAAATCTAACAAAATTACATTTCTATCTTTTTTAAATTATTTTTTTTTTTTTTATTTTATCAAGTTTATCATTTATGTTTACATAAGTAAATGTTGTCAGTAATAAAATATTTACCTTTCATTATCAATGTTATCAGTATAATATCATTGCATCACAGTTATTTAACAATAAGAAATATAAAAAATGACATCAATAACACGTACATTAAAAATTTTAATTTTTGTTAAAATTGTATAATAGTATGAATAACGATTTATTTTATTTTATGAAAGTTTCTACTTAAAAACTGTATCATAAAATATGATATTAATTAGTTGACAATTAAATGAAACACATTATATTGTAGATGATTTTTATTTAAATGAACAAATATATAATATTTCATTAGGAACGATTTAAGAAATATATTTTAAAAATGAAGATAATGATAATATACATGAAAAAGAATTTACAATTTCATCACTGATCGATTTAAAAACTTGTAAGAAATTTGCGATTATATTATTAATTGATTTAAAAACTTATGAAAATTTCACGATTCTATCGCTGATCGATTCAAAAACTTGTAAGAAATTTGCGATTATATTATTAATTGATTTAAAAACTTATGAAAATTTCACGATTCTATCGCTGATCGATTCAAAAACTTGTGAAAATTTTATGATTATTATCACTGATTGATTCAAAAATTGATGAAAATTTTATGATTCTATCGCTGATCGACAGAGAATTTGCAATTGTAACACTGATCGATTCAAAAACTGATGAAGAATGTGCAGCGCTTATTGATGATCGATTCAAAATGCTGACAAAACATTTGCAACTCTATCGATTCAAATAATTCTTGTTGTTACTACAACTTCTACTCTCTATGTATGTTTGTTTCTCATTTCAATTATTTAATTTAACATTTCATTTTTAAATTTAAAAAAAACGTAAAATGTAAACAAATCTTTTTGTTTACTTTTTTTTTAATCATTTTTTACATATTTTAAAATATAAAAAATATTGTAATTGTTTAAATTCAAAAATTTCCAATTAATTTTCATTTTCGTTTCAAATTTTATTTCAATTCAATTTCAATTATAAGCAAATAATGTTAACAATATAAAAATTCCATTTGTAA